CTAGGGTTTCTGAGAGATAATTTCTGCAGAGTTTCAGTAGGAGTTTAGACGTACCTCAACCCTTGTGTGTGGCCATCCTTTTATAGAGGTCTTGGGAGCTAGGGTTTCAGAGGAATAATTCCGTAGATGGAAGGGAATTATTCCTCCCCAATTTGGCGAAATTTAACTAATTAGGGATTTGATTTATTTGATTTAAATCAAATCCCTAATCAGGATAGCAATCAAATCAATACCTAATTTAATTAGGTAACTCCTCCATTAATTGAGAATATTCGTAGGAATCAAATCAATCCTCAACCTAATTAGGTAACATTCTATTTAATTGGGTAACCCCCAATTAAATTGAATAATTCCCAATTAGGTCAAATAATCCCCAAATGGAAGGAATTATTTGACCTAGGGTTATGAATTAATTCGGTTCCCACACTTATCAATGCAGTTGTTGGGTCTTTACTGGCCCATCATAAAGTATGGCCTCTGTATGTCCAAGAACAAATGAAGGAAATGAAAACAGAGAGCTCAAACATGAAAACTGAAATGTATTTCACTATTAACAATTTTGAATTACAATATAACATTAAATGCATTTTTTATATATATTTAATATAGGTATAATTGAAAAATTAAATCAGCTTTATTTTGCATTCTTTCGCAAACCAAACATAGGAAAGAAAATAAAGTGTTATTTCCTGGTTATTTTCCTAGAATTACCAAACATGAAAAATGAATATTCATATCCCATAACATGAAAAATTATTTCCCATCATTCAAAAGCTATGAACTAGATTTTGGACTCTTGATATTGATGACCAAAAGACATGTTGAGACTTAAAATTGTGCTTCATGAGGTTATTATAGCACAATTTGTTTTCGGTTATATGGTTCTTTTCATTCAAAACCTATAAAATAAAATAAAATAAAATAAAATAAATTTAGATATGATGGGCCATAATATGATATATGGGCTACATGTGATTGGGTTACTGGGTCTGGCCCATAATATAGTTGGGTATACCGGTTGCTTAGAAGCATGTACTTCATTTCTATATTGTTACAAGGCCATGGATCCTCTACAGTTAAAATCATGGATGAGTTAATCAGTTGTTTTCTCTTTGACTCCTGTTTTCGTCAACTGTTTTCAATGTCATTTCCTTCCTATATTGATGGTGACCACCTTGGAATGACAGATCCCTGAAATCTTTTAAGAGTGGAAGCAAAAAAAGTTGCAGAGAAGGTGTTTGATGAAATGGGGAAGTCTAGCAGGTGTTAAGTTCTACTTCTGGTTTACTCATTCTGCAAACCCTTTTTTCTTTACAAGGCTTCTATTAGTTACTTCTGGTATAATATTAACAGTGTTTTTCATCAGAGGTCTTCAGGTTGGGAATTTATTGGCTGCACTGATTTGACTTCATAGTGGATGTCAAGAGGAGACAAGATATGATATTGATCTTTCACTTTTCTTATCAACGCAGTTGTAGGGTCTTGTATTGGCTCGTGATAAAAGTCCGAGAACAAATGAAGCAAATGAAAACAGAGAGCTCAAACATGAAAACTGAAATGCATTTCACTAAAAGAATCTAAAAATCTATTTACTGCCTATAATTATTCATCTCCAATTTTTGTAAAACAAAAAAAAAAAATCGTTCTTTGGGATATAAAGAACGCCTAATTTTGAATAAGAGCTGCATAAAGAAGCACATTCCAAGTATCAGGTACTCCGGCTAAACACCAATGGGTGCAGTCCAAGCCCCTGTGCCCACCAAGGCCGTAGACAGACGGGTGCCCATCTTTTCTAAGTTGTGAAAGAGTTGTAACATTCAGCAAATGGACTGGCTTTGACACGTTCCGTAACACTTTCTCTACTACTTTCTCTGCTGGATGTGCTTCTCCTGGATAGTTTGGACCTGGTAGCGGTTCTGATTGTGCACTGCAGTTATTTGCTTGAGGATCACCCCACTCTCTTCCACTGAGCGACATCAAAGATTGAGTTTAATTAGAAACTGTAAGCTGGATAGTTTGGACCTGGTAGCGGTTCTGATTGTGCACTGCAGTTATTTGCTTGAGGATCACCCCACTCTCTTCCACTGAGAGACATCAAAGATTGAGTTTAATAAGAAACTATAACAAAACAGAAGTAAGATAGTAGCTTGGCTTAATTAATAGTATAGATAAGCTGTAACATAAGTATCAACAGATGTCATTGAAGAAGTAATAACAGTTTCTATCTGCTTTAGAAACTACAATATCCTTGAAGCTGGTGTATGCTGGTATTGTGTTTGAATGATTTCAAGTTACCTAAATAGCCTTGATGCATTAAGAAGAATTATAAATACTTAACGAATGTCTAGGAATGTAGATCTTGACTAGGCACTTGTATAAAGGCTATTATCATACATTGTTGAGATACTTACTTGCTATGATCTGGAGAAACACCCTGGAAGAAGACCTTGGTTTTGTTTGAGTCCACATTGGAGTCTACCCATGTTGCCCAAGTGTTCAATGCCTTCTCATATGCAACCAAGCGATCCATGTCCTTATAAGTTTCATTCCCCACTTGAATAAAGTTCCATCTGCACCACATTTAAAAACAAAAGCTCAATCACTTGTAGAACATAGAGATAGTGGCAACCAAAAGCTCTAGGAATGAATAAACCAAATTGGAGACAGGAAAGTCAAATGGGGTTCGTACGGTTGCTTTCTGCCGGTGTGAACCCACCAATGCCACGTGTCGAAGATCAATACGTCGACTCCCGACCACAGTTTGTCATCTTGAGTTGAGATTGAGTCAAGTTTTAGGATTCGGCCATCAGGTGTGCGTACAATGTTCACAATTAAGGCATTGCGGGAGAACAACAGTTTAACATTGTATTCCTGCAAATTGTAAAATAGGTCTTCATAATGTAAGTATTTTGTAAATCTGTCATGTAAAACTAATTAAAAAGTGTTCAAAACTTAAGCGAAGGAGTACTTGGGTCTCACTTCTTTCAATTATCTGATAAATAAATGTGAATTATGTAGGTATTACATTGTTTTTCATGTTTAGTAACCTAACTAAATATGTCCCAGTACTCATTTAGAAATGAGATGATGACCTCATATGTGCCCAATTCATTACTTCATGATTATAAACACTCAATGTTGCATTAAAGTTCAACTTGGAAGAGATCTATTTTGCTAATCATCATACTTAATTGACTAGTTCTATATGGGTAGCAATCATTGTCATATGGACCAAAGTGCAGCAAACATAATGTTATATATATATATATATATATATATATATATGGAGCTTCAATTGAAGGATCTCTCAAATAAGCTTATTTGAGAGACACCCTTGTAGGGCCCACTCCGTATTGCATTTTACTAATCCAAACCATCTATTTTGTAGATACTCATTCAAAGATCATAGTCACAAAAAATCACTTGAATCCGATATCATTTGACCACTCAATTGAATTATTGAAATTTTAGTACTTTCTTAAAGCACCTTGTTCATTGATTTTGTAGGACACAACTGGATATCGAAACGGTTTCTAATTTGTCTAATTTTTTGCAAGGATGATCTATGAATGTAGACTTAAAAAACAGATGGTTTGGATCGTTGAAAAAAAATTCGTAAGGGACCCTAAAGGGTGTTCCTCAAATAAAAATATTTGAGGGATCCCTTTGGATTAGGTCAAGTTGAGAGACAGTGATAATCTCACCGGGAATGTGAATGTGGAGAGTCCTCCAGTCCTAACCGATGTGTATTTGGCCTCTGGAACAGATGTATAAAGCATGCAGGTAAGTGACTGCCATTGGTTCAAACTCAACGAGTCCCCGATAAACATGATGCTTTTCCCTCTAAGTTCTGTCAACAAACGACTACCATCGAATCTGCATCATAAAAGTTTTATACACAGATCAATATCATCGTATAAATCAATACCAAAGTTGTATGAGGTCTAAAGTAGATGCTAGAGTTACAAGATGTGTAAATTGCATGATTTGCATAAATGTATCATCTTATGTCACAAGACTGTGAATCTCGATCCTCGCACATGCCATATGGTCAATGTGACAACTTAATATTGAAAAAGGCAATCCTAGAACTAGAAGTTCTTTACACCTTGTATAGAGAAGTATGCAAGGAACCAAAGTGCACGCCATTTATTAGAATTTGAAATGCTACCCACCAATCTCAAATATGTATGGTAATGATGAAAAAACCAAACGAAAATACCCCACACACAAAATGATACAAAAACATATAAAGAAAAAAGACAAACAAAGATCCAAACTCGAAGAAGAAATTGAGGATGATGACAAAGAAAAGAAGTATGAAGTTTCATTTGACATTTTGGTGATAGATATAATATGTATAAATGCATAAATGTGATGTAGATTAAAGGTATATACGTACCTTGGTAAGCTGCAGGCAGAGGGCTGCCATCTATATTTGAGGTAGTCTCTATCAGGGCGACCATTCTTTACGCAGTCAAACACCTTCTCAAGGAAGGGGCAGCTAGGCGCGGCATAAAGAGGATATGAATCATCAAAAACCCAGTTGCCTTGAGAAACATCACAGCCGTCGATATCACTCCCTACAAGTCCTCCATGCACTTCTTGATGCAGAACAGAATGTACAAGCAGTACTAGCGTAGCACCAACTGCAAAAGCATCCATGATATCAGAGAAATAGACAGATAGAAAGAGAGACTAGAAGGTTGGCCTAACTCACAAGGTAATATACCTACACATACATATATATACGCACAGAGAGAACATGAAATGGAAGAATGTACATGTGTGGTGAACGTCATGGGACTTTTTAATTTACGTGCTTGTGGTTGCAATTAAATCTTCCATAATCAGAAAGGAAATTATGGAGATTGGGATTTGGTTTCTTTACTGGTATTGGTATATATGGATAGAGAAAGAGAAGAGAAGGAAGCAAGTGAAAGGGAGGGAGATGGAGTTTCAAAATGGGTTGGTGGAATTAGAGAGAATGTAGATATCTAGGAGGGGACATATTGTAGCTGTCATAGGTTGGTTTTGGTGGGGTAACAGTCACCAAAGGGTTAGCCCAAAGATTATGGTCAATTAATTAGCTGTCCAATTGTTTCACATATTATTATTCCCAAAATGATCTACTATGTGTCCCCGATGTGATGTGATAGTATTTTACTTGTTAGAAATAAATGAGTCTTCGAATGAACAAAAAAAATATTTTCATAAACTCAAAAATTCTACGCGGTTAGATTTTTTTTTTGGGCGTTCTTCCATTTTGGCTATGCTAATTTGCCTTTCTAATTTTTCTAACCAAAAAAGAAATTTGACTGTAATATAACTCTCTTATGATGTCTTAGAAAATTGATTTGGGGACTATTAAGAATAATTGTTTTTTATGCCATGCAAACAGGTGACCTGTATTCGACCAGAAAAAGAAGATGGGACCTGTAGTAGAAGCCATGACTACCTATAACAGAAAAAAGAATTGCCGTGGAAGACACATAACCTCTCTAAAAGGATGGAAAAAGAAAAAGAAAATACATTAACAAGTTTAGATGGAATTAATATACTATATGTCTAGTCCCACAAAAATTGATTTTTCTATTTTTTTGCTGGTTTTTTATTTGATTTTCTTTTATTTTTATTTCAAAGATATGATTTTTTATTCATTTTTTTTATTTTAATATTAAAATACCATTTTACCCCTACATTTAACAGAAAAAGTTAACAAAATTGATGACAGGACCATTTGTCCTAACGAAAGTGAAGCTAAAGGACCACGGGAACAATTTTGGAAATTGAGGGACTCAAATGCAAATGCAGGTCCAAATTCAGGGACCAATAAAACGATTAACCCTTTATTCAAACTTAGTTGTAGAAAAAAATTCTTTTGATGTGTCATTGTAATACTACCATCTGGTGTTACTAAATCATACTTGGGTGATTTAGGGTTTTGATTATGTTGAGTTTGTGGGCTTTGTTTGGGCTTATGGCTAATTGAGGTGATGTGGGCTAATAATTTTAATGCGGCTTTTGTCAGCGTTAGTTTTGCTTTTAGCATGTTAGTTTGTTGCCTTCTTGGGATTGATATTTTAGATGTATTATTGATGTCTTTAATTGTATCGTTGAAGTATATCTAATAAAGTTTCTATTTGATCAAAAAATCATATCTCATAACATGGGTGTGACTGATTTATATTTTAAAATATAATATTAATAAAATATATACATATAATAAAATTAATGAATTAATAATACAACGTGGCAATATTAAGATAATCTAAAACTTTCTCTGGACGAGACCTCGGAAGAAAAGTTGGTGGAATTGCATTGATTTGACTTCATAAAGGATGTCAAGAGGTGACAAGGTATGAAGAAATTAATCATTCACTATTCTTATAAATTCAATCTGGAGTGTACACGGATGGCACGCTTGCATACAGCCATAAATTCAAGGAGCGCGCCAATGAGTTGCTGCAGTTCCTGCGACCGCAACCTTGTTGCAGGCTCACCAGACAGGAAAGCAGTGCACACACTCGGTACCCCGTTGTTAACCTGCAAATAGAAAGTAGAGAAATCTGATCAGTTATATATAGAGATATAATTTGAACGGAGTAAGCAACTGATACAGTATTGGTTCAGAAAAAGGGAGTTTTGAGAACAAAGTTCAACCTGAACTGCAACACTGACTTGAAGAATTCCTTGTAGGGTCTGAAACGTGGGAGTTGATCCCCTTCAGAACTGCAAGTTCATTTCGTAAAGCAGCTGTCCGACTTTCACTCATTCCCAATGGCATTTTCTACTGGGGGAACTCAAGCAATTCCGATTTGGTAACCGAAAGCCTGTTCACAAGACCTAGGAATGAACTTGAAGATTCCATTCCACTGGTCTTCCAATCCACTTTGAGTCTTTCCATTTTTCGTAAATGGGGTATCAAACAAGAAACGCTCAAAGACTCGTGCACAAACACTACCAGTTGAAAGAGAAAAGATTCTCTCCCTTCTGCTTCCCAAATCTTCATCTTCCATGACTGAATCAACAGCAGTTATCTGCAGGTACCAGACACCAGGCTGCAATTCATCTGCCTCTACCTGCCTAGAATCTGGAATAATGTGTAAGGTGTGATTGCCATCCATCCCACACTCGTATATATATATGACTAAGTTTCTCCATTATGTCACCTAGCCGTACATCACGGGCCTCCCTATATACACATTCCTTTCCATCTAACTTTCCAAATCTGTCACCGTAAAACCCAACCTTGTCTGTAGTATGTTACATCAGTGAACGGAATTGGACTTGATTCCTGCTCAAGGATTGATTCATAGATATTAGTAAGCATAGTGTGACATTTACTCAGCCGTCCATATGCCCTCCTGCTTTTGTAAACTGGGATAACAAGTTCCAGAATATCCTTCTACCTCAGCTGCAGAAGTCCCAGAGCAGATCTCATAACTCAGAATAGCCAAAATCTAGCAATTGCTTTCAAGTTTTCAACATAACTGCTGCCACATTGGCAATAGCGGGGTTTTGACTACAATTAAGCCGGTACACGCCCACCACTTTGATAAATTATTGACTTTTTCAACTTTCACATTCCAATTGACTAAAATCTCTCAAATCTCAATTTAAAATTACCTAACAAAAATGGAAAAAAAGTCCAAGAATTTGTCCAAATTGCACTAGAGTCAGACCCTATACACATTTAGTCCTTCACAATCTTTTGAACTACAACTAAGAACAAAGTATGTAAAAGAAGGTAACAAAAACCAAGAAAATATGTCTAAATGGAGAGGGGAGAGAGTAAAATTAGATTGGTTAGTCACAACCAAGGTTTAAAATATCGAGTGTAACAAATAAAAGTTGATTGATGATGTTAATAAAGTTATTGACTTAAATTTTGATTATGGGGTTGGGTGAAAAAACTATTTGAGGTTGTTGTATATATGACTAGTTGTATGAGTCCATTCACATAATGCATAATGCATGAAATGGTATGACATAATTTTAGTCAAATATCTTATTTGAGAAATTCATGCACCGACAATTTGATTTTGACTTGGCTAAATTATTCTTTATTTTATTGTAAAATTTTCCGGTCTAATTCGAACCAAAAATATTTAGTAAACGATAGGATTACAATATCTGTAAACCGATGAAATGCTGTACCAAATTGATATTTAAAATTAATTCATTGTTTAGTTACTAATGTATGTGTCAACATGTTAGTGGCTGGATAAATAGACATTACTTATGTATAGATTGGAAGGTTTGCTTTAACATTCGAATGAAGAATAAGAAAGACTTCAAAATCTAGTGGTTTCGATTATGAGAGAGGATTTATACAAATATTTATTAGGTGTCTGGGTACCTCTGCGTACAGGAGTGGAGGTTGAGCTTAACTAATGGATTGTTGCACTATAGAATGTGTTGTTTTTATTTATTTATTAGAATTTCTTGTTTTATTGTTCTGATTAAGGTTTATTTCTCGATATTTCATGAACTTTCTTATAACTTTGGGTTCTAAATAATTGTCTGTTTGGCATCAATTATAAATTTTTGGTTTCCACATAAGTCAATAGGGGTGGGTACGTATGGATTTTACCTCACAACCATGGCGAAACCAATTACAATATAACATTTTGGTTCGGTTTAATTTTGACAAAAATTAAGGAAGAAACCAAACCAATTTAAGATGGGTTGGTTCAGCTGATTTGGGCCCTAAAGCCCATTTCTCTTTCAATTTGCATTTTTTTAGCCCAATTACAACCGAAACACTTTCAAAACACTATAATTTGACTCATGAATGAATGATAAAAATATGTAAGCTCTTTTAATTCATTAAATGCTGAAAAACCTGTTGATTTTCTAACAAATCAAACACTGGGGTGTAATAGCAAGTCTCTGATCCTGTGTGGCAAGTAGGTCCATCAGGCTTCTCGAGGTAAATTATTTGAGAAATAAGTCTGAGTTAAAGTAATTAAATCAAGCACATAAACATAGATTAAAAAATATATTCCAATTAAACTAGCAAGCAACATACAAAGTCTCGATCACAATCAAGGAAGATGTCATGGACATCAATGAAATTATTGGAGGTCTCTCCCTTTTTCCACAACATTGAACGTGACCGACTGTAGAATGTTGCTTTCCGTGAGGAAATTGTTGTAGCCACTGCTTCCCTGTTCGCAAAGCCTTGCATCAAGATGGCTCCTGTGTCAACGTTTTGAGCTATGGCAACCGCCAAACCTCTGTCATCTCATTTTACACTATCTAACACTGTTATCACCATTGAGAGTTTTCAAATTCTAAAGGAATCCCACTTGGGTTTCATTACAGTGTAACCAAATCAATTATCCTTTTCACATTGCAAAGCCAATCCAGTTGAAATAGTAGATTAAAAAATGGGAAAAAAAAATGAAATTTCCATTGAAATTTTTACGTCTTATGCCATGTGTTGAAATAAAAATACAAAGAGTCAAATTAATTAACACCGCCAAAGGCAGAACTAAAAAACCCAACTTAACCAAACGACTCTAAATCCGAAAATATGAACAAGAGATGTGGTGCGTCTGTGTGCTGATATACCAACTCACCTTCAAACTTAGAGAAAGAGAGGCGTAATGCTGCTGCTCTGTGCTGCCGACAAAACAAACGTATGTATCGAATATAGGCACGTGTGCGTGCTC